AAAAGCAATTCACCAATTCGCCCACTTCACTGACACTCAACAAGATTTGGAACCTGGAAATGCGAAGGATGAGCATGAGCAAACTACAAAGCCTTTCAAAAAGCTGGCGACAAAGACAACATGAGCAGCCACTTGGAATCCCGGGACACAAAAGGCCTTCAACCCCTCATCGCCGATGGAATTGCCACTCAGCCAAATGCTTGTCACGGAAACGTTCGTCTTCAAAGCTTCAGCTAGTGCCTGGCCAAAGGGAAAGCGACGTGGAAGTAGCTCAAAGCTAACATCTGTGAGACCTCATCAAATACAAATGAGACACAACTCTCAGTTTCCGACTCTGAGTTTCCAAAGAACAATTCCCACTGGATTCAGGGCAAATGTCGTTGACAGAGATGCATTTCCAGCCAACATCATGCCAATATCCCAGTAGAAAGCATACCACATCATACCACACAGAATGAGTTCAAGTCAAAAATCAATTCACCAATTCACCCACTTCACTGACACTCAACAAGATTTGGAACCTGGAAATGCGAAGGATGAGCATGAGCAAACTACAAAGCCTTTCAAAAAGCTGGCGACAAAGACACCATGAGCAGCCAGTTGGAACCCTGGGACACAAAAGGCCTTCACCCCCTCATCGCCGATGGAATTTTTAGCCAGGCCGATGCGTGTCACGGAAGTGTTCTTCTTCAAAGCTTCAGCTAGTGCCTGGCCACAGGGAAAGCGACTTGGAAGTAGATCAAGGCTGACATCTGTGAGACGTCATGAAATACAAAGGAGACACAACTCTCAGTTTCCGACTCTGAGTTTCCAAAGAACAATTCCCACTGGATTCAGGGCAAATGTCTTTGACACAGAGATGCACTTCCAGCCAATATCATGCCAATATCCCAGTAGAAAGCATGGCATACCACATCATACCACACAGAATGAGTTCAAGTCAAAAAGCAATTCACCCACTTCACTGACAGTCAACAAAAATTGGAAACTGGAAATGTGATGGATGAGCATGAGCAGACTACAAAGCCTTCCAAAAAGCTGGCGACAAAGACACCATGAGCAGCCACTTGGAACACCGGGACACAAAAGGCCTTCACTCCCTCAACGCCGATGGAATTGTCTTCCAGGTTGATAAATGTCACGGAAGCGTTCGTCTTCAAAGCTTCAGCTAGTGCCTCGCCAAAGGGAAAGCGACGTGGAAGTAGCTCAAAGCTAACATCTGTGAGACCTCATCAAATACAAATGAGACACAACTCTCAGTTTCCGACTCTGAGTTTCCAAAGAACAATTCCCACTGGATTCAGGGCAAATGTCGTTGACAGAGATGCATTTCCAGCCAACATCATGCCAATATCCCAGTAGAAAGCATACCACATCATACCACACAGAATGAGTTCAAGTCAAAAATCAATTCACCAATTCACCCACTTCACTGACACTCAACAAGATTTGGAACCTGGAATGCGAAGGATGAGCATGAGCAAACTACAAAGCCTTTCAAAAAGCTGGCGACAAAGACACCATGAGCAGCCAGTTGGAACCCTGGGACACAAAAGGCCTTCACCCCCTCATCGCCGATGGAATTTTTAGCCAGGCAGATGCGTGTCACGGAAGTGTTCTTCTTCAAAGCTTCAGCTAGTGCCTGGCCACAGGGAAAGCGACTTGGAAGTAGATCAAGGCTGACATCTGTGAGACCTCATGAAATACAAAGGAGACAGAACTCTCAGTTTCAGACTCCGAGTTTTCAAACAACAATTCCCACTGGATTCAGGGCAAATGTCTTTGACACAGAGATGCACTTCCAGCCAATATCATGCCAATATCCCAGTAGAAAGCATGGTATACAACATCATACCACACAGAATGAGTTCAAGTCAAAAAGCAATTCACCCACTTCACTGACAGTCAACAAAAATTGGAAACTGGAAATGTGATGGATGAGCATGAGCAGACTACAAAGCCTGCCAAAAAGCTGGCGACAAAGACACCATGAGCAGCCACTTGGAACACCGGGACACAAAAGGCCTTCACTCCCTCAACGCCGGTGGAATTCTAAAACAGCTCGATGCTTGTCACGGAAGTGTTCGTCTTCAAAGCTTCAGCTAGTGCCTGGCCAAAGGGAAAGCGACATGGAAGTAGACAAAGGCTAAAATCTGTGAGACCTCATGAAATACAAAGGAGACAGAACTCTCCGTTTCAGACTCCGAGTTTTCAAACAACAATTCCCACTGGATTCAGGGCAAATGTCTTTGACACAGAGATGCACTTCCAGCCAATATCATGCCAATATCCCAGTAGAAAGCATACCACATCATACCACACAGAATGAGTTCAAGTCAAAAAGCAATTCACCCACTTCACTGCCAGTCAACAAAAATTGGAAACTGGAAATGCGAAGGATGAGCATGAGCAAACTACAAAACCTTTCAACAAACTGGCGACAAAAACACCATGAGCAGCCACTTGGAATCCCGGGACACAAAAGGCCTTCACTCCCTCATCACCGATGGAATTGCGAGCCAATTTGATGCTTGTCACGGAAACGTTCGTCTTCAAAGCTTCAGCTAGTGCCTGGCCAAAGGGAAAGCGACGTGGAAGTAGCTCAAAGCTAACATCTGTGGGACCTCATCAAATACAAATGAGACACAACTCTCAGTTTCCGACTCTGAGTTTCCGAAAAACAATTCCCACTGGATTCAGGGCAAATGTCTTTGACACAGAGATGCACTTCCAGCCAATATCATGCCAATATCCCAGTAGAAAGCATACCAAATCATACCACACAGAATGAGTTCAAGTCAAGAAGAAATTCACCCACTTCATTGACAGTCAACAAAAATTGGAAACTGGAAATGTGACGGATGAGCATGAGCAGACTACAAAGCCTTCCAAAAAGCTGGCGACAAAGACACCATGAGCAGCCACTTGGAACACCGGGACACAAAAGGCCTTCACTCCCTCATCGCCGATGGAACTTTCAGCCAGGCCGATGCTTGTCACAGAAGTGTTCTTCTTCAAAGCTTCGGCTAGTGCCTGGCCAAAGGGAAAGCGACGTGGAAGTAGCTCAAAGCTAACATCTGTGAGACCTCATCAAATACAAATGAGACACAACTCTCAGTTTCCGACTCTGAGTTTCCAAAGAACAATTTCCACTGGATTCAGGGCAAATGTC